ATTTCCACACAATTACACTGTGTACTATTTCCATTTTCCTCGGTCCACGCACAATTACATTGTGTACAAATGGCAACTCTGTATACTTTAGTTGAATTATCATATAAAATGATATGAAAAAGCCTTTTGTACACTTTTCTAATGTTGTATACTTTAGTTGAAAAAACTTTTTGTCTATCACAACAAAAATAGTCTTCACACAGGCGCGCGTGTAAAAGTGTATAAACAGTAAAGTGTATAAACAGTAAAGTGTGTACAACAAGAATTGTTGATTGATTGTTAAGTGTGTAAACAGTAAATTGTGTACTAATTAGCTACATGTCCTTTCAACCGGATTCCGAAATAAAGTTTTTAGCTTATATGGACTCTGATATGATACATGACAGTAAGATAATAATTATCATATAAATACCAACAAAGACCACGATTTAGAGATGGTGATACTCAATTTGGTTGAATTTGTTGCATCTTCGGAATCTAGTCTAATCTGAACTATTTAAATTTAATTTAGTGTGAGACTGAAATCAATCCAAGTAAATAAACCCTTAGAACACATTTACTTCACGGGTTATTAAATAGTGCTTATTATTATTAAGATTAAGACTCACGTTAATACGTGGCGCATAAAATAAGCAGTGTTGTAAGCTCATGTTTACTTCAAAGGATTTAAAACACCGTTTAACATTAAAATGTCTAAAATAACCCTATACATATATAGACACACAAACATTTATGAACACAAGTATATAATATAATATGAGGGGTCACCTCATACGTGTACCCATACCCCATACCCCTACCCCTCCCGTACTCACCCCACCCCAATTTCACACCCTTGACCCTACCCCTACCCCTATCCTTACCACGACCTTACCCTTTACCCCTACTCCCCTACAACACCCATAACACCTACCCTACTCGTAGGGGTGGGGTCGAGGTAAAGGCATGTGGTATGGAGTAAAGGGCTAGGGTTGAGGTAGGGGTACACATGGGGGTGGGGTGGGGGCTCGGGGGTAGGACAACGTAGGGTGGGGTCGGGGTGGGGCTGAGGTTGGGGCATGTGGTACGGGGGTACGGGGTTATGGGGGTAGGGTGTTAAGGTCTAGGAGGTAGGGTAAGGGATGGGGTAGGTAGGGATCGGGGTGGGGCAGAGGTTGGGGCATGTGGTAAGGGGTAAACGGGATAGGGTAAGGGGTTACGGGTAAGGATGGCAATGGTGGCGGGGGCCTGTGGGGAACGCCCCATGGGTGGAAGCTGGGGCAGGTGGTGGGGCAGTGCGGGTATGGGGATGGGGAACTATTTCTTCCCCGCTTAAATATGGGGCGGGTGATGGGTCATGCACCCCCGCACCCCCCGTATATATACACATATTAATAATAATAATAATAATAATAATAATAATAATAATAATTAATAATAATTAATAATAATAATAACAATAACAATAACAATAACAATAACAATAACAATGATAATGATAATGATAATGATAATGATAATGATAATGATGATGATGATGATGATGATGATGATGATGATGATGATGATGATGATGATGATGATGATGATGATGATGATGATGATGATGATGATGATGATGATGATGATGATGATGATGATGATGATGATGATGATGATGATGATGATGATGATGATGATGATGATAATAATAATAATAATAATAATAATAATAATATGAAGTAATTTAAATAGCATGGTGGCCCGGTAGATTTAGTGGTTTCTTATCTAATGGTTGTGTCTAATGGATCTATCTAATTCTTGTTTAATAACTCAGCTATTTTGTAAAATTGGTTATCAAAATCATAAAGTGAAATGAATTTGGTAAAGTTATAAAGTGATATTAGCTTAAACGCCTCAGGCACAGTGTGAATGTTTAATTATTTGCTTATGAATGTCATCTTTATGATTGTAGTTTAGGGCTCTTAAAAATATGGTGACCATAGGTCGTCCTAGATGCTGTCAAATGACCATGGTTGATTGAATGCAGGGCTTAAGAAAATATTATAGAGCCAATCAATGCTAATAAAGTGATTGATAACATGACTAAATCAAAATGCGTATAATGTGTTCTAGATTTGAAATGAATGTAAGATTACATTAACACTTAAAACTAACATGTTTTTTTGGCTAGTACTAGAAGTGTTGTGTGCTTTTTTAAAAATTGTCTGGGTCTAAAATAGTGTCAACTTTTTGACAAATATTTCCCCCGTTGGGTAACCGTGGGTCTAGCGGGTTGGAGTGGATTGAATAGTAATGGGGGGTGGGGCGGGGGTGGGGCCATTTTTATACACGGGGGCGGGGGATTGAACCCCAACCCCAACCCCCCATTGCCCATCCCTAGTTACGGGTGGAAGTGGGGTAGGGTGGTAAGGGCTAGGGGGGTAGGTGGGTGGGGTAGGATGGGGCAAGGTGGGGCCGAGGTATTGGCATGTGGTAGGGGTGAACGGGTTACGAGGGTGGGGCGGGGGTGGGTAGGGGTAAGGGGTAAGGTACATTGGTGGGGGTGGGTAGGGTGGGGTCAAAGTTGGGGTGGGGTCGGGGTAAGGTAGGATAGAGGGCGGGGAGGGTAGAGGGGTAGCAGATAGAGGGGTAACAATAGGGTAAGGGCAAGGGGCAAGTGTAAGGGTAAATTTGGAAACTGAAAAAGTTTAAAGTGCCACTTAATTAATACATGTAGTGTGGTATGTTTGGTAAACGACACATTAAGCACCTCTTTAGGTTAATAAACAGCTTTTTAAGCAACTTGCATGTGAAGTAGACTTTATGAATATATTAACTATGAATAATCAAAGTGAGTTTTGGATGACATACTAAAAGGAGTATTCTATTTAGATGAAACGTAGATTAGTATAATTAATTATGTAAACTATTATAGCACAAGTAAATAAAAGATTATAATTAGAACTTTGGGTACTGTATAATTCGAGCGTGTTTTAAAAATTGAGTTAATTTATTTTTTTGATCGTAAAAATTATGTTAGTTTATTAATTACCCACAATTAAATGTATAACTAAAAATCTAAAATCAATATTATGAAAAAAACTCAATTGCTAAGATGAAAAGAAGTGACTCATTCAAAATACAGTGACGTGTGCGGGTTGTTTTTTTAAATAGAAACGGTCAAGGAGTTACAAACTAAGTGGGCCATACATTTAATTCAAAGCATTTATGTTTCTCGGATATATAATTAACCGAACAACATTTTAAGGGAGTGTTTGCAACTGCTTCTGCTTAAAAAAACTTTTGGAGATGTAAGGAAAAAGTGATTAGTAATAAAAGTTAATAGTGTTTGAGAAAAAAAGTGATTTTGAAGAGTTTTTTTTCCGTATTAATGTTAATTAATTAAATAATTACGAAAATAGGGTTGTGTTAAAAGTATTTACCAATATACTGCTGGGTTAACCATGGTCGGGGTAAGTCGTCAAACGGTTGAGCGACTTATAAGTCGCCATCCGGTTTGGCGACTTATAAGTCGCCCAACCGTTTGGCGACTTACCTATTAAATAGGCAGACGGGTTGGTTCCCAGACAGAACACGTTTATTCCCCCAAATCCCCCAAACCTTTGCTGCAGCGACGAACGATGAGCGGACGAGCGGACGAGAGCCACCTCCAACTCCGGCGAACCACCATCTCCGGCGACGCCACCTTGCCAAGGTCTCTCCACTTCCATCTTCTTCAACACTCTTTCTTCTAGGTAAATGAAACTCCATTTCATCTCATTTTGAAGTTAGGGATTTGAATGTTAAAATTTTCGAATTTATAGATTATGAATTGATTTGTGAATTGATTTGTTGTGAAATGTGGATATGTATGAAATGTTGAAATTTGATATTAAATTGATTGTAAATTTTAATGTGTATTTTGACATTTGGATAGATTTGAATGTAGCTAAATTTGGGTATTCAAATGTAGACCTGAATGTAGATATCAAAATTTGGGTATTTTGATATTTAAATGTGAATTGATTGTGCATTTTGACATTTGGGTATATTTGAATGTAGATAGTTTTTTATTGAAAAATTGAATGTGTATAAACTCTGTATATTGATGTGTAATCATGAAAGTTGGACATGTATTGTTATTAGAATATGGATTTCTCCAACTTCCCAATCGTGTGTCATTGGGGGGGCAACTTGTGACACCGCTCCCGAACGTCCTTGAAAATTTGATTTAAAATTCAAAGTTTATGTATTGGATTTCTGATTCCCAAACATTTGTAAAACGATTAATGTTTTACGTAATTAATGATCGATTAGTGTACTGTTCGAACTCGTATATTAGAGTCGGGCATGCAAATACTATTTGGGTCTTATTAATAAATAAAAGAGCCCAACATTATCCAAATAGTGATACATAATCTTTCAAGACAATCCGAGTAAGGTCGGACGGCCCAAACGTTATTTTGAGCCCAACCTGCTAAAATAGCAAGTATTCGAGAATGGCGTTCTAGACCCATTCGGGAGTGACCCACACGGCTAGTAGCCCAATAATATGTATGACAAATGTCAAATAAGTGATAGAACGATTAAAGAAGAATACAAATGCCTATAGTCCCATCTTTAACATTATTGAGCTAAATAATGGGAGTAGGATTTTTTCTTCTATAATATCCATTAAGTAAATTATTGTGATAAACCTACACATATTGGAAATCAATAATGTGATGAAGGAAGTTGACTTGTTCTAAATGAATTAGGATGAGTACAAAAAGACATCTTTGACAAAAGATAAAACAATAGGACCCATCTTCCCATTTTTGGAAGTATTGGTAGATAATTTGGATCCCAAAATGATTGGGATCAATTGGGAACCATTCCACATGGACTTAGTACATGCAAAACAAGTGAAAAGTGGTGAGAAGACCATATGGGGCGGACTCTTGGCTCACATGCACAAAAAACTCCAAGAGAAAACAAAAGGGGGAGGTCCACCCCATATTTGATTGCAAACCAAATATCTCCCATGTTCTTTTGTGAGTCACATACTCATTTAGCATGTTTAGGAGCTCCTAATACACTCCCCATACACCCCATTCGAACCCCCAAAGAGATAAGAGAGCAAGGGAATCCACACAACCCAAGAGAGAAGGAAGGAGGAGAGCAGTCCGCAGGTTCGTTCTTCAGTGCGTAGCTCTGATTGTTTGAGCCATAACTTGAGATTTACTCATCCAAATAAGGCGTGCGAGATACCAACAGAAAGCTCTCAAGACGAGGAATCCGTGAAGGTCTGGTTTGCATCAATCGGAGTAGTGTAAGGCTTCCAAATCGACCGAGCAAAACACGACCTCGCAGAATACGTTTTTGTATTCAAAGTAAGTTTGAATCCAAAACCTTCCTCTCTATTGTCTAAATCATATAAATGATTGAAGAACTATTATACACTGATTGAAGTGTATAAAATGTTATTATTATGTGACTTTAATTGTTGGAAAGGTTAGATACTAACCTAGACAAAACCTTGAAAGGTTAGGGAACGAATTCGTCGGGAAACACCCGTTCTAGGGACTGTTTTTGCATCAACGATTAAGGGTTGAACTAGCACTTTGAGGAGGCTGTTTAACACTCATATTTGAGCAAGGAATCAGTTCCAAATCCACCTTGACCAAAGCTTTGACTATTGGACCAAGAAGGGAAAGTTTAAAGCTCAATTGAGGTGAGGATTGACATCTAATTGCTTACAACTTGTAGGTTAAGCATGAGATTACCTAAATGCCTAAATCATAATTTTTATGGATTATGATGATTATATAATGATGAAATATGGATATAGTTGCCAAAGAATGAAATTGGAAATGATTTGAGAATGTATGAATAAAATGAGATTAAATGAGTTATAAATGAACTATTTTGTGAAATAGACATTTTACTCATGTATGAATTATGTGGGTACATAAATGAATGTTTATGTATTGAGATTGAACACTTAAGTTGCTGCTACATAATTGTAAATATGTAGAGGATTACAAATAATGAGCATATATGCATGATAACAATAATCTTAATAGTATCGAAATACTAGTTAGTGATTATTGGAAATTGTTGATGGAATTGATCCTAGGGATTGGATTGTATGAAATGCACTTGAATATACTTCAAGGGTGTATGATGACTTAGTATGAAACTAAGGTTAAGTGGTGGGAAGTCTTTAAGGATGACCCATGTTAGTTTATTGATATGTCAATTCTAGGCATAGGGTTGCTTAAGAATTGGACCTTCATGCATGGTGATGTGATAGAGCCGAGCTCTAGGATGCATGGTAAGGTGGTAGACTTGTAGTCTATGTATTGAATAGCTAGAGCCGAGCTCTAGGGCTTGCGTGGTGATGTGATAGAGCCGAGCTCTAGAACGCAAGGTAAGGAAATGGACCCGAGTGACATGAATTGTATGGTGATGTGGTAGAGCCGAGCTCTAGAATACAATGTCATGTGTTCGGGTTGGACTCTATTGAGTTGTCGTGGTTTGTAGCCACGGGGAATGGGAATGGTGATTTCTAAATGAACATGGGCCCACGGGCCGACTACTTGACTTTTACATAAAGTAAGTATATTTTCAAATGGGTAACTTAGGGTTACAAATCATAATATACTATCACCCTATTTGAGGGTCTTGTGTTTGAAATACTTGTTGTATATCTATTAGATGCCTGCCACACCAGTACTTTATAGCCGTATAGAGTACTGACCCCTTCGGGGGCGTCCCACCACCATTTCAGGTTGAGGCTAGAGCTTGCATCCTGTGCTCGTTGATCGAGTGATTCCTCGGAGAGAAGACTGGGTTCGTGCTTCCTCCATTCTATTTGAAACATTAATAAATTTGCTCATGGATATTTTACTATAGAGCCTGCGTGCTCATGAATAGCCCGGTGTGGCCTTTTGTTTTAAACAATGTTTTCCGCTGCGTTATGAATTACTTATTATGTTTGTTTATGGATGTTATATGTGTGAATGATATTCATGACGCCTTGTATAATATGAATGTGTTGGACTGCGGTTGACTATTCGTATTGTACGGCGGGTTGTTGACGTGTCCGGGTAGGTCCGGGGCGTGACACAACTATTATGAGGATGCTGGACAAAAACGCCATGAAGGTGGTAGAAGCAGTTTTGTCATTGTTTCTCGTGGCGCTTGCTTGCTCGAGATGCTTCAAAAAATACATGCAGCTACAATGATTACTCCGACTAGTTCTTTGCATTTGAAAATGAAATTTCCAATGAACGGGGGAAAGTACATGCTTATGCCCCTAACTGATGAACTAGATATATCAAATATGTGGTCGATAATTGAGATGGAGGCTATGTCCACCCTGAAGATATACATTGAGGACTCCATATGTGACACATCTGCTACTCCATCAACATCAAATGCTGTTGTATCTAGGCGTGGTGTGAATGCAGGGAACTCCTCACATGCTGTTGTACTGGACATGGTTGTAGAGGAAGAGAGTATGTATTTGCACAATGGTGCATCTTTTTGTGGATGGGCAGGACACTGATGATGATGCTGATGAGAACATCAATGGTGATGACATGACAGAATATGATGAAGATGATGGTGATACTGTCACGGCAACTGCCCCCTCTAGCCACTTTACTAGAATATATGATCTCTCTGAAGGCTTTACTGATGTGTGGATGAGTGGATCAGGTATGAAAAGGTTTACCCCCGAAGGTGAGTTTGACGTCGGTCAACAATTTGACGACAAAGAACAAGTCATCAATATGGTGAGCTTGTATTCTATCAAGCGGAACCAATTTTATCGGGTGATGGAGTCCGATAAACACAAATGGGTGGAGCAGTGCAAAAGGAAGAAATAATGTGATTGCCCCTGGAGAATACGCGCCACAAAGAACAAAGGCAACCTTGATAGCTTCACAATTGTGGGTTATCCGGGACCTCATTCTGCTACGTGTGTTGGCAACACCGACAGTACCGATCACGTGGCTTTGACTTCAGATTTCATCTCTAAAGATGTGATTGACATTGTTCGCACTGATCCTTCCCTTAAAGTGCATACTATCATTGAGATGCTGAAGGAAAAGTATGGGTATACGGTATCATACCGGAGAACATGGATGGGGAAGCAAAAGACCATAGCAGAAATATTTGGCAGTTGGGGGAAGTCATATTAATAATATTCATATATGCTACATAAATGGTTAGATGGCTATTTGCTGATCTATCTTGCACGTCAGCGGCTTCTGGGCTTGGTGTATGCATGGATGCATTTGATCGGATGTCTGAGGATCAGGTATGGTGTGCGTAAAATAACATTAACTATAATATGTATAACATAAATACTAATCTTGTATCTTTATGAAACAGATTACATGATTGCCATATACAGCTGAGATGTTTGCAGAGATGGCCCTCGCTAGATGAGAGCATTCTCACATGTGGCGAGCACGTGTGTCGTTGATATGCTTTGACATTGTTGAGCTGCATTTGCCTGATCGTGTATTGTTACAGTTTGGGTTTGAGCACGTCATTCCAGCACCTATCGACACGTATGTAGAGCTTCATAGGCCGGATAGGCGTGGAAAGCATACGGAGGATTGGGCACTGAGACATGTCTGATATGTCATTTGTCCCATCTGTTTCAGGAGACTACATGGGATGATATTACAGCATCACTCGTTTGTTTGTGTCTCCTTTGTTCAGACTCCTTACTCACCATTACCAGCATAGCTCTTTGGCTTTGCATCTTACAGTGAGTATATTACTAATTACTAAAGTAAGTCATTTTCTTTATTTAATACTTTTATTTATTTCTAACTAATTGTAATTGTGTTTCATATTTCAGACATGAGCTTTGCAGCGTATACATCAGCGGGCTACTGTCACAGTGAGTGATACGCAGGACGTGGATATGTACGGCCAGGTTCTGACGGGCATTGCCTCCTTGTGTTCAGATGCCACATTGAGTGATACGCAGGACGTGGATATGTACGGTCAGGCTTTGACGGGCATTGCCTCCTTGTGTTCAGATGTGTTGGGGTGAGTCGACTACGGCTATCTTATACACATTCCTTCATCTCAGGATATGCCATCGACGTCTAGTGCAACAGCGGCTTCATCTTCCCAGACTCAGCATGAGAGAGTGGTTCTTCAACCACGCCAACGGCGTAGGCGTAGGCAGCAACAACATTTCCATGACCAAGACGATCAAGATGACCATGACAATTTGTAGTTTGTCTTTTGTATTAGAGTTTTTCTTGTACACTACATTGTAGGCACAATTGACTTTATTTTACGTATTTCCACCTCTAAACTCTTGTATGATGTGTTATGAATATTGGATGATTGTACTCTGATTTACCGGTTATTGATGCGGTGTTTTGTATGATATTGAGAGCAGGTGTTATGTATGTGTTTGTGAGCAGGTGTGTTGTATGTAATGTGTTGTATCTGGTTTGTAACCCCTAAATAGGACAAGGACACCTTATTTTTAGCAAACAAATGAGTTTGGACTGAACCAAAACTAAAAAGGTGCTGAAATGCACATTTCGGAAGTACGCACGATCGTGCCTACCCTGGGACGCACGATCGTGTGTGGCTGACAGTAGCTGCTGGTCTTCGTTCATATGCAAGGGGTAAGTCGCCCAACAGTTGGGCGACTTATAACCATGGTTAAATCCGGCAGTAGATCGGTAAATACTTTTTTCCAGCATTATTTTCGTAATTAATTAATTAACTAACTAACATTCGAAAAAAACTCGATTTTGAAAAGTAAAAGTTGGTAGTGTTTGGTAAAATAAGTGATTTTTGTGTAATAGAAAAGGGAAAAACACTTTTCACACGCAAGCCGAGATAAAGTAAAAATTGATAATGTTTGGTAAATAAGTCCTTTTTCAAGTCAAAAGCTGAGAAATGATTTTTTAAGTTGTAGCAAACACTCGGAGTTTAGGCCCAATACCAATGATTTTCTATGGATCGGAACTTTGTGATCTGGCCTGGTCTCATGATCTGGTTTGATCGAGTATGGTCTGTTTAAATCTGGTCAGGTTTGGTATGATAGATGTTTGATCTTTGTGTTTTTTACAACTGTCAAACTCTGATCTGATATAATATGATCTAGTTTAGTCTGAGGCTGAAATAATTTCAAATAAAAAACATCTAATTACAACATTTTTTATTGGAATAATCAGTACAACTTCTTAAATACAAAGTAATTTAATTTTATAATAAATAATTATATTAAGATTTTCAAAAATTATAAATATGTCGACAAAATCCATCGACTCAATTGTACTAAACTACGGAGTATTATTTTCAATTATAACGATTACAATTTTTTTTCTACCCAAAATGTTGATGTCTTTTAATTGCCCAAAATGTCCCTTTCACTTCATTTTAAGCCATCTTCATATTTCCTCCATCTTCATTTTGTGAGAATGATCATCATGAAGTTAAATTATACCTACAAACTTTTGACTTAAAATTCAATTGGAAAGCCAGTTGAATAAATTATTGAAACACTGCGCAAAAATATGCATAAAAACACAGTGTTTTTAATAATTTTAATTAGTTGACTTCGCGGTTATTGAATTTGAAATTTTGTGGAGATAATCTAAACTTAACGATGAACATGATCACAAATTTCGTCCAAAAATTATAGTTGAAAGCACCTCAAATGAGCTTTAACCGTACGAAAGTATCATGTATGAGAAGATTACTCATTGAAGGATAAAGGAACAACATTGTGCAATCTATCTAATTATAATGTGGATGCCCTCACAAGAAAAATTTAGAAATAATTTCAAATATATAACCGAAATAAAAATAATGGACAAAAATGTTACTCTAATAATTTTAGTGACTTCAATTATTTTAAAATGTTACATTGTAGTGACTATAAAACCTACTTATAGTAACTTAGTCACTTTTTTGTCCATAAATTTTTTACTAGTAATATTTTAGGAGAGACCTCAAAGTTATTCATATCATCCAAACTTACAATAATGATGTTCATAATTATATAAATAATGACAATTATAGTGATAATAATATAACGGTAACAATTATAATTAGGGAAAAATAATAAAAATACCCCAAGCTTTGAAGGAGTGTGAGGTAAACACCATAAACTTGCATATGTATTTTAAATACCCAAACTTTATATAAAAAGTTATTTTCATGTATTATTTCTTTCAAAAATGTAAATTTATGGGTTAATTTCATAATTTAAAATAGAAAATTAAAAGTGTTGCAATTATATAGATTGGGTGTAACATTATTTATTTTGCAATGGAAGTTTAGAATGTTAATTGTGTCTTCATAAATTCTAAAATATTTTAATTATGCAATTAACATCATAAATTTTCATTTTTGAAAGAATAATACCTGACTATGGTGTTAAAATAATTTTTTATATAAATTTTGGGGTATTTAAATTACATATGCAAGTTTGGGGTGTTCATCTCACACCCCTTAAAAGTTTAGGGTATTTTAATTATTTTTCCCTTATAATTATGACATTTTAAAGGCATTCTCAATTTGGCATCTAATGGCAATTTTCAAAAAATTATAATTATATAAAAATAGTGTCTCCATGATGACATTTTGAAAGAAAAACATGTCATTTTGGAAGAGTAATAATGCAATCTGACATTTTCAGAGAATAATTTGAATTTTTAACAAATAAAGAAGAAAAAAAGGGTTTTTTACAAGAATATTACTAAAATAAAACTTATTTACATAAATATGACTATTCATTACTGCAACGTAGTGCTGTGGTAACTAAAGTTCAAAACTTGAACATGAATTACTATGATTTCTTTACTACTCTAGTAATGAATCATATTTTTGTAAACCATCTTTATTTTGGTTATATTTATGTAATTATTTCAAAAAAAAAACAAATAAAGAAGAAACAAAGCAGCTCAATCTTTTAACAGAAGAGGGGAAATAGAGAACCTGAGAAAAGGGGAGGATGAAAAAGGAAGGAGTGGGAGAACTATGAGCTACTTCGTCCGACCACATCATTTGGAATCGCTACTCGCTGCTTGCTATTCTCAGCACGTCGAAACTCGATGCTTGCAACCTGAAATAGATGATGAGCGGATCGGAGAAAATGATAAAAATACTTGGAAAGATGGTGAGCTAAGAAGAAGATAATAATGTGCTACTATACATGATTGAAAAATATAAAAGAAGGATAAATTTGGAGTAATAGTCCAATTTAGGGAATTAAAATATACCTACTTCTATTGGGATTTTTTAAAACACTTATATTGGGAAGTTAAGTATCATTTTATTCCCATTTAGGGCAATATCTCAAATACCAAACCGATACATAATCAAAATCGAACTAAACTAAATCTAGACATAATCTGACTTTTATCGATGATAAATATGTTTCAATCCAAATCAAATTGAATATAAAATCAATATACCATCCCTAGTTCATTCCAATCTCTACCAACAAATGACTTCTTTTTTATCTTCTAATAACTGTGATGAAAGGTTAACATGCAAAGATGCATATAAATGCGTCAGAGCTCCACTAGCTATCTATCAATTTGTAATTAAAATCCAATTTACATCCTATCAGTTAATTGTCCGACCAGTGTTGAGACCCTTGGGAAAGTCATCCTTTTATTCATTAGAAATGGTTCGATATAAGACTAAAACATACACAAAGTTCAAAAGTAGTACTAAGCTATTTTATTGTCCAAATATGAGTTATTTGGTCTTATTAAAATAAGAAGTTGATTGACTTATTTAATCCTATTAAAATACGTAGGGTTGGTTTGCAACTGCTTTTAAAAAAGCACTTCTCAGCTTTTTGCTTTAAAAAAGCACTTATTTTCCCAAACACTACAACTTTTATTTTTCTCGGCTTCCGCGTCAAAAGTGCTTTTACTTTTTCTATTACACAAAAAGCACTTATTTTACCAAACACTACTCACTTTTACTTTTCAAAATCACTTTTTTCTCAAACACTATCAACTTTTATTTAATCACTTCTCCCCATTTCATTAAAAAAGCACTTTTTTAAAAGCAGAAGCTGTTGCAAACAGACCCGTAGTATAAAATAGATTAAAATTTCCCAAAACAAAGATATTCCTATTTAAGGGCTTAAATGGCTTAATGTTTTATTTAGTCATATTTAGAGAATTCTTCCTTTTTTCTTTTCATCTCCTAAAATGTGTTAAGTTACTTAAGTACAAATTCATCATAAGTTCATAACAAATAATCTGAAATCCTAGATGTCTTCATCCATCATATGAAATTTATCTTTGATTTTGGATTTCTTATACTGACACTGTTCCTAAGGGAAAACGTCATAAATATATACGGATATACCTTAAAAATTAATTGAGTATTCATTAAATCTTGTTTCTACCACAAGTACAATTGTACTCCATCAAAAAAAGGGAAATTTTAATACAGCATAGTTGTTTTTTCATCAATATAAATGGAAACACGAGTAGAGCTTACATGCTTTAACTCCCATCTATTCCAAGAATCAAAACAGAGGAGACGATTTCTCCAATTTCGAGCTTACCAGTATTAGCAACTTTGGTTTATGTATTTCCTTGAAAGAAATTGACGGTGGGTGGGGATATAAAAGAAAAATGAATGAATTCACAGTTGTTGCATGGGGACACAAATTATAATTTCAAAAACAATAAATTTCATATTCATTCATAGTTGAGATACTGAGAGCTCTGCCACCACTGCTCTGACTGTTGTTGCTATTATTCATTTTCTGCACACTAAACTTTTGTTGCAGTCTGCTCTCCCCCTCTTTCTCTCTGAATACCCCACCCCCACCCCCACCCACCCCACTCACCACCTCTCGTCTTCTCACCTGCCTGCCAAAGCAACCAAACGTTTGCAGCAATAATTTCTCCTCCGCCTGTCCTTCCTTCTTCCCCAACCCCACTCCATTATGTACCCATTTGTTTGTAAATATGCCCAAGAGTAGAACATTACTGTTGTCGGCGTTGAAAACCATGCATCATGGTATGAACTGTTTTTAGCACTCCACTTTTATTATATGCCCAGTGGTGTGACAGTCCAGGAAGGCAAGAATCATCACTTATTATTGAGGGGGTGTTGTGAAATATTTTGGAAATGGCCGGTCCGGGAGGAGGGCGCGGTGGCGTGCCGACTTTGCCACCGCCGCGGCCGAAATCGCCGCCTCGGTACCCGGATTTGTATGGGAAGCGCCGGGAATCGGCTAGAGTGCAGATGCTCGAGAGGGAGATTGGGTTTCTTGAGGTGAGTTTTTGATTCTTTGCAGAATGGAACTCTGTT